GGCCTCCGCCCGGGCCGGGCCCGCGAGCCCCGGCTCGCGTCTGGCGTGCAGTCCTGCAGGGCGCTGGGATGTTTGCAGCCCAAGTTTTGTGGAGTAAAGGAAACTGTTTACCAAGCGTGCTAGAAAGCTGTGGGCTGGTTTTTTATTTTCTTTAAACTGCTGAGTTTCCTCTCAGTTGGAGAGCGATTGGGCACAGCGGGATGCTTTTGCCTCATCTTTGTCTGAGTTTACTTCTGCCGTTCAGTGGAAGACTCTGCTTGTCTCCCATTAGTTTCTTGCACCTTTGTTAAAACCCACCATGTAGTTGGGCAGATCTTTTCCACAGAATGAAGTGAGTTTTCTAGTCTGCCTCTTCAGGTCACCGGTGTGGGGCGGGAGTAATTATTATTAAGGCAAAAATTTGCCTTTTACAAATTCTTCTTCCTGTTTTGTTGTTTTCAATTTAGGCAGATGTGATTCTCCTTGTCACCTGTTCCGTGAGGTAAGGAAACTTCTGTCACTGCTGAGTCGGGACAGTTTTTGGGGACTTACTGTTTGAAAACCAAGGCAATAAGTGTGCTGTGTGAGAAAAAGGGCACGCAGATGTGGAACTGCCTGTGTAGCTGCGGGTGGAGCTGGCTGGTGCTGCGGTGTGTAACATTAATTGTGCAATGAGTTGCTTTTCTGTATGGTGGGAAGTTCTTTGGTAGTGTAAGCTCTGTGTACACGGGCATTTAAAGACCTGCAAAGATTTGTGCTTCAGTGATATATTTTTTTTTTTAATATTCTTCTGTCTTCTCTTGAAGTGACTGTCTCTGTGGCGCAGGGACTGTACTTCAGAAATGTGGGAAATACATTTAGGGGCAATTTGGGATATAAATATACGGGGAACTTTGCGAGTGTTTTCTGAATGCAGATGATACCAAATGCTCGTTGTCGCTTGCAAGGCAGCTCATAGTGGCTGGGGGAGGCAGGCTTTTTCTCCGCAAGAGCTTAGTCCCTGAGTTGTTTCTGCAGTGTAGACGCTCCCAAGTGAGTGAAATGATGGTAGATGAGATGGAGTCAAGACGTAAGCTGCACACCACGGACGGCATTGCGTGTGCCATCAGATCCATCGGGTAGATGACGAGTCCCTGTCCTCAGCTGAATTCTCCTCTCAGAGCACTTGGACCGCTTCACGCTGGGGGACTGTTGAAGTGCAGCAGTCGGAGTAACCACTGTTCTCCTGGCTTCCCAGGGAGAAGGCAGAGCAGGCTATCTGGAACCGCCTGCGGCACCTCAAGGCGCTGAAAGCCCGGCGGCAGCAGGGTCGCTTACCTCTCCGCGTCGGGATTCTAGGTACCTGGCGGTGGGCAGCAGCGGGCAGCACACACTTTGCGTGCACCACGTCCCATCCTGCTGCGTCTCCTCTTCCCCGCTGGCGACGCCAAGCCTCTTCTGCAGGGTGAAAGCTGCTGGCGAAGGGGTGCCAGCTGTGACGGAGGGTGGGCACTTCCTCACAAGGACCCATCTCCTTTGGCGGCAGGCTGCATGGCGGAGAGGCTCAAGGAGGAGATTCTGCACAGGGAGAAGCTAGTCGATGTTGTGGCAGGCCCCGACGCGTATCGTGACCTTCCCCGGCTGCTGGCCGTGGCAGGGTCTGGCCAGCAAGCTGCTAACGTCCTGCTGTCGCTAGATGAGACTTATGCGGATATTCTGCCTGTCCAGACTAGCGCAGGTGGCACGACGGCGTTTGTGTAAGTACTGGTTTTTTCCTGTACATGTTTCTGTAGTGCTGGTTTGGAGATACTGCCGTGCGGGAAGTGCAGGCGTGTCAGTGACAGCGCTGCCCAAGAGATGCAGGCCTGGCTGCGCTCGCTCCCGGCAGCCCCGCGGCGTCAGTCTGCCAGACTGTGCGTTTGCTGCTGCTTCGCTGTCGGACTGAGCCCTGGAGAGTCTGCCCCGCGCTCTGGCTGTCTGCAGGCTTCTCTTACTCTCCTTTGAGACCTTTGTCTAAGCCTGATGCTGCACCGAATGATTTCTGTCCCACTGATGTCTGTGCCTTTGCAATGTCTGTGTCTCTCTCCTGACATGTCCTGCCCCAGGTTCTCCTGTTTGATTCTTCTAATCCTCCATGCATTGTAACTTCTTTTAGGTTGGTTCCATTTGTCTAGTTTTGATAATAAGGTTCCCAAACATGAAATCAGACTCTGTTCCATGTGGCCATAGAGTATGGAGAGGCAGCATCACCCTCTGAAGGGGACGCAGAAGGGCCTGTCACCACTGCCAGATTGCAGTGCAAGCCTGTGCCTCATTAGTTGCTTTCCAGGTTTCTTGGAAATGTGTATGGAAAATGAGGGGGTGTTAGCTAGGGGCGAGCAGAAGCCAGCTCGGACCGGACTGGAGTGTAAGGGGAAGCTGCAGGGCTGTGTTCAGAGCTGGTGCTGTGTGTGCTGCAGGCTGGGGGCGTTGGCTGACGGCAGCAGTGCTGGGCCAGGTCACAGCAGGGCAGGGTGCAACACAGATGATTCTGCTGGAGCGATTGTGGTATGACCTGTACGCTTTGCCTCTCGGCAGATCTGTCATGCGGGGCTGTGACAACATGTGTAGCTACTGCATCGTGCCCTTCACCCGTGGCCGTGAAAGGAGCCGCCCCATTGCGTCCATCCTGCAGGAAGTGAGGATGCTCTCGGATCAGGTGAGGCAGAGCCTGCTTCCCACCTGCCCCAGGCCGTGGGCGGAAGGGTGGTCCTCGGGGAAGGTGTTGTCAGTGATATGTTTGACTGATGCCCTTTATCTATGGAGATGAGGTTACCTTAGGGTTCCACCAGCGGCTTTTTGATTCCCCGTGTAATACTCCGAGGCAGACAGGGGAGGGAGGGCTTCCCCTGGAGACTCCTCCTTGGAGTAGAACCGTGGCTGCCCGTGCAGCTTCGCCATCCTGGCCAGGTTATATTTTTTCCTCTGTGTTTACCTTTGTAGGGAGTGAAAGAAGTGACCCTTTTGGGTCAGAACGTCAACAGCTTTCGAGATATGTCCGAGGTGCAGTTTCAGTCGGCTGCTGCCCCAGTCCTCAGTCGTGGCTTTAGCACAGTCTACAAAGCTAAACCAGGAGGCTTGCGCTTTGCACATCTGCTAGACCAGGTTTCTAGAATTGATCCAGAAATGAGGATCCGTTTCACCTCGCCACACCCCAAGGATTTTCCCGATGAGGCAAGTGTAAAATAAACACCTGGACCTCTGGTTGAGGGCAGGCAGGCAGCTCTGAACTGCTGGATGCAGGCTGTGCTTCCTTCCCAAAGGGGACGCAGAGTCACAGAATGGGAACAGCAGCTCCTGGGAGGGGGACTGTTTGCACTAAAGCCAGCAGGTTTGCAATTTGCTGGCTTTTACCCGGGGAAGACTCTCCCCCTTGGCATCCTGGTGGAGCTGAGCTGTCTGTGACGTTGTCTCCTGATTGCCCATCACAGGTCCTGCAGCTTATCCAGGAGCGACACAACATCTGCAAACAGCTTCACCTCCCAGCCCAGAGTGGAAGCACACGAGTGCTGGAGGCCATGCGACGAGGGTGAGCGATCACCGTGGGCAGCCCTGTGCCCTGCTCTCTGCTTTAGGGTGCTGCTTTCTCCTCACTGACGTCATGGTTTTCTGATTAGCGAATCCGTGTGTTGTTAATTGCAGATACACACGAGAGGCATATCTGGAGCTTGTACACCACGTGCGCGAGTCCATTCCAGGTAGGGGCTCCCTGTGCCTTGGTCTGAGCTCAGCACAGCTGCATCTTCCTGTCCTTTCCGGAGTGAAGCGTTCCTCTCCTCTGCGAGGGAAGTGTAAAGCTGTGTCTGTCTTGCAGGAGTGAGCTTAAGCAGCGACTTCATTGCTGGGTTCTGTGGAGAGACAGAAGAAGATCACCAGCAGACCGTGTCCTTGCTGCGGGAGGTCCGCTACAACGTAGGCTTCCTGTTTGCCTACAGCATGAGACAGGTGAGTGCGGGACCTGAGGAGAGGACTGTTATCTCGGTGCATCTCGCCTAACTCCTGAGTGCTGCTTCTCATAATAAGACATACACAAAAAAAAACCTATTGAAAAGAATAAAGACTCGTTATATTGGTAGGTTTTTTTGCTGGTGTGCAGTCCTTCACGGGTGTGTGTTCCTGCCGGAGCCGCCTTGACGTCTGAAGGGCTCCCAGCTCCTTTCTGTGAGCGTCAGGGTTGATCAGTGCTGGGGTGACCTGGTTCTGCAGGTGCTGCAGAGTGATTGCAGTGAAGCAGCCATATCTGCAGAGACCTGGCTGCAGCTACATTTTTCTCTGTCGATAAGAAATTGTGCTGATGTAGCTGGGCTCCAGCCCAGCTATGGCGACTCTGTCAGTCGGATCTGGAGAGAACTGGTGAATTTTCAGAAGGTGTTTCCATGAGAAGAGTGGATAGTTGACAAGTCTCCTTTGCAATGCTCCCCATGGTGTAAGATGCTGACAGGGAAGAGGACAGGAGGTTAGGAAACAAGGAAGCAGAGGAATATGGATCACCTTTTAGCACATGGGACCAGAAGGAGTAGACTCCATTGGCTGTCCCTGCGGGCAGACAGGCAATAGGCACGTCTCACACAGGAGATGCAGAGCTGCTGTTTCACACAGGCACCGATACTCAGTGCCCTACATCAAACCTCCTACAAAAAGGTGATGCAGGAAGAATGTGAGGAAATCGAGGATGTTGCTGGTTCTTAGCACCTGGAGACTTCCTGGAGAGTGTGAATACAGACTGAAATGTGTGGAAACTGTTGCCTGAAGAGCAGCCAAGGTGGCTGGGGTCAGACCAGTTTCTGATCTTGGACTGCCTGGTTGCTGAGGAGCCACACTTGCTTTGTCTGTTTACAGAAAACCCGGGCGTATCACCGACTGCGAGATGATGTGCCTGCAGACGTAAAACAGAGGCGGCTGGAGGAGCTCATTACTGTCTTTCGAGAGGAGGCTGCGAGGGCAAACGAGGCGATGGTGGGCCAGTCTCAGCTGGTGCTGGTGGAGGGGGTGAGTGTGCCTGGAGCAGAGCTGTCCTGCTCCCCTCTTGCTGGCCAAGAGGCTCTTGGGCTGTACACAGCAATCATGGCCTCTGCCTTCCCTGCCTGCTTTCCCCACACAGTCCTAGGGCTCCAAGACCTTAGGCAGACAGCGTGTTTTCTCCAGAGCACTGAGCTGAGCTCAGGGGGGTGGGACGGGCTAGAGACATGTCTCTAGCCCAAGCACTGAATTAGTGCAGGCGTTGAAACGTTGGCTTTGGTGTGTGGGTGTCAGCACGGCGGTTCTGGCCACAGGGCTTTGTCACGTGGCGTGCTGAAGTGTGGAGTGTGGACTGTAATACTGGCGGTAGTGCTCAATGAATTCCTGAGGCAATAAAGCCCAGCAGTGAATCGGAGCTGTTGCCATGCAGGTAATGTTCCCTGCCCTCCTTTCAGCCCAGCAAGCGCTCTGCCTTGGAGTTGTGTGGGAGGAATGACGGCAACATCAAGGTGATCTTCCCTGATGCCGAGACCGAGGATGCTGCGGGCTGCAAGGCTCTGGTCAGAGCCCAGCCAGGGGACTATGTGTTGGTGAAGGTGACCTGTCTACAGTACTTGTTTCCTGGGGCTCTTTTTCTTGCACAGTGCTGTTCTCCAGAGCAGCTGCTGCCAGGAGAGTCTAAAATTAGAAAGGATCCTGCTCAGCCTTGCTGTTCCTGAGGACTGTTGTGCTGTTTCTTTCAGGTAACCTCTGCCAGCTCTCAGACCTTGAAGGGAGCTCTGCTCTGCCGTACGACCCTCTCCCGCTCTGCAGCTTGTCGTTGAGTTGTCCCTGCTGCCAGTGCACAAAAGCAGTGCCTTTTCTCCAGGAAGAAACAAGGAAGCTTGGTCAGGTGGAGAAGGGGCAGAAACAGGGAGATACATGTATGTTAAAATATATATATTAAAAAAAAATAATAAAAAATATACACATTTCTGTTTTGGAAACAACCTACCACCTGTAGATCTGTGCAAGTCTGTAGGCAAGAGGGATGGAAGCTGTGTATGGACTTGCCAACCCCAAGCGCTGTGTGATCTTGTATTTTCCCTTGCGCTCAGGCTTGGCCCACCCTCGCGGCGCGGCAGGTCTGTCCCCTCTCTCTGAGCACGTCCTCCAGTGCAGCCCAGCCCGAGAAATGTAAGGCTGCAGAGCAGGTCCTTCCTGCTAGCTCAGCTGAATTTAGGAGCTGCAAAAACTGGTAGTGCGTAAGAAATACAGCTGCAGTGAGTGCTGGAGAGTGGTGGGAATGCTGCCAAAGGGGATGGAGAGCTCGAAGAACTGGAGAAGACTCTGACGAGTTCTTTCCAAATATTGGTAACTTCCCTGCTTTCAGAATGCTTGGGAAGGGTGAGTAAGAGCCCGCACTGTGCCTCTGGGATGGAGCGTGGCACCAAACTGGAATATAAAGCGATGTTAATGTGCATGAGTGATGCTTCATCTGGTGGATGTGAGGCTGAGGGGATGCAGCCTTACCCCTGCGCTGGGGTACGTGGGTCTAGGTCAGAGGGTGCCTGGCAGGGACCGGCTGCCAGCCGACGGTTGTCTCTGGCCTGTTAAAACTTCAGGGGCAGCTTCCGGATCCCGACGGCGCCG